TTCAACGCCACCACTGCTGATAACTGTTTCTTTGTAAAAAAGAGTAATGATCATATTGAATTTGTATTAATTTACGTGGACGATATTTTATACATTGGAAAGCATAAAGAGAGCAGGGAAATCTTTGTAAATAAGTTAAATGAACACTTCTCACTGAAATCTCTGGGTAAAGTGAATAAATACCTTGGTGTGCAAATTAACAAAACTAAAAGGGGATTCAAACTTACACAGAAAGATAAAATCATCGAACTCCTAAACAAATGTAACTTAAATAATGCCAAAACCTGTGACACCCCTATGCAAACTGATTTTCTTAGAAACACTGATGAATCTTCCCCTGAGTTTAAAGACAACACATTTTACAGATCAGTTATAGGTTCACTCCTTTATATATCTAATTGGACTAGGCCAGATATTGCATTACCTCTCAATCTACTGTCAAGATATGTTAGTAAACCAACCTTGTATCATTGGGAAGCTGTCAAGAGAATTCTAAGATATCTGAAGGGTACATTAGATTTTTGTTTAATGTTGGAACCCAATAATGACAGAGAACCAAAAATTACTTGTTATGCTGATGCAGATTGGGCTGGTGATACATCATGCAGAAAGAGTACTTCTGGTTATGTTTTTCTATTGAATGATTGTCCAGTTTACTGGTATACTGGTAAACAAGAACTAGTAGCCACTTCTACTACAGAAGCGGAATATGTTTGTTTGTCCAAGGCTGCAAATAACCTTGTATGGTTCAATGATCTGATCACTGATGTTTGGAAGAAACCCACTTTACCATTTATTATGCATGAAGACAATAAAGCGGCCATTGAAATATCCAGATCCGATGCAATTGGACAAAGGTCCAGGCATATTGATATAAAGTTTAAGCATGTGAGACAACTGTCTCAAGACGGATTCATTAAAGCAATACATTGCGATACTTCTGAACAATTAGCTGACATATTAACAAAACCCTTACCTTCTAAACAACACAAATATTTAACTTCTAAATTATATGTATTATATTGTCCTGAATCAGAATGTAATTGGTGTTGTGTAACGAACCGGCATTTAGAGGGGGATTTGTCAGATGTAAATGCCTTATTCTCCAATGTGTAAATAATGTATATATGGAACATCAGAGGTTAACTTATTCTTTGGACTTTAATGTATTCATAACTTACCACTCCCATTCCTAGCTCCACCCCTTGTATATATAAGGAGCCACCCTCACCATTCTAACTGCTTCTACCTTGAATATTCGGTGAATATAGAATGCCTATCATAATTAAAAAGAAATATATTTAAAGCTCTAACTCCTATTATCTTTATTGAGTCTGATCCTGAAAATATTGCAACAATCTCGTTCTGGGATTTCTTCGTTGGCTGACTGAAGAAAATGTCACTTGTTATGCAGGGAAGAAATTATACAGCTACTTATAGACAAGTGCTTCACTCATGCATATATCAGGAGACAACATAATTCCTGGTCAGCACTTTCTGCTGTTTCATAAGACAAAATAGTCATGGAGGGCAATACCCAATGACTAGAGAGAAAGAAGTGTACTCCCAGCAATCTAAAGTAGCCAAAGGGTCTGGGCAATTGCAAATGCTTGACTATGTTGGGATAATAAAACTTCATATATTGAATCTACATGAAGCCTTCTGTCAGGATAAAAAAAAAATAAGTGGGGAAGAGGCTACTTAAGCAAGACAATAGCTAAATACAAATTCAGCTCACTTATACTGTGGGAATAAGTCCAAGAGAAAATCATATCAGTGAGTCCTTGAAAAAATGGTTAGCAAGATATTTGTATTGTTGGCCAGATATCAAGATATACTCTCTATTTCCAGCAGATAACTAGAGATAGGGACTGGTGCTCAGTTTATGTAGGGCTATGTGGCTTTCAACATTACTTACATCCTATAATACCTTTTTGCAACTAGGGACCATATAGTCGGTCTAGATAATCTAGATTAATATATTCCATCATGGGTAATGTATGTCATCATAGGTTGTAACAAGACCAAGTGTCCTGCTGACAAAGATGCGTTTGAGAAATAATTTATTTCAAGGTACTTTGAAGTTACATCCTGTATTTATAATCATCTAAATATTTTGTCAATAGCATGTAAAATGTTGATGTGTTGTCACATTGACAGCATTCTTGTAGGCATTTCTATATGGGTGATTTTTTTTCCTAAACCCCTAGATTTGTGGAATTTTTGGCTAGATGTTTCCAGTTCTGTGAAATAGATTATACATTATATTATCTAGACAGTCATGTCACTGATGAAGATCAAGGAGCATTTGATTTTACTATGTAAACTAGACCTTGGAAGAGCTACCCACTGATTCAGAAAATCATAGCTCTGCGGGATCTAAGAATTTAGTACGTTTAATTCTACTCCATTTCACAGTTATAATCTTGTAACTTAGGAGTCTAATGATAATAAGGGATGTTAATAGAAAAGAGAGAGAGGAGGTGAAACTAAGCTTAGATATAGTAACATGGCAATCATGCTACTTAAATCCATATCTAGTGTAACATTCAGCTGTGTGCAAATACATTTCAAGTTCTTCACCCAATTTTTTATTTGGGGGACACCAAATTTCTTCTAGGGATTGGTTATTTTATGAATGGGGTTCATCATTTGCAGTAGGATGGCATAGTCTCTATTTTTCTCCCTGCAGATTATATTGTTGCTGCTATCCTTGTAATGATGGCCTAGTCAACATTTTGTATCTTTCACAAAAGATAATTTTTTCAAAAGATTTGTAATTAGTGTTAAATACCTGGTAAGGCCCATAAATTCAAATGAATTAACAGTCTTCAACGGAGTAAGAATTGCAGAGGATGAAAAGGTTCACTGTTTTGATATCAAACCCAGCTTTCATTCTTGTCTTCAGACATTCTAATAGTTGATCATCTCAGTGAACAAATATTGATATATTTATGGTGTCATCTGTACTTAACCATTTTTTATAATAGCTACAAACAAAACCCCAAAAAAACATAATGGAAACTGAGTCTTTCTAACAATAAAATTACCATTCCAGAATATACAATTGCCATAAGCTTTGTTTGTTTCTTTGTTTAAGAAATGTATATGATCATCCAACTCACATGCAGGAGACTCTGGGCAGCATACTTTATTAATAATATTATTACAGGTAGAACTTGTTATTAAATATTTTTCTTGAATAAAATATGGCAAACAATTTCTGTTATTAAAGGTAAATGTAAAGGTTCCTGTTGCACATATGTACTAGTCGTTCCCAACTCTAGGGGGCGGTGCTCATCTCCATTTCAAAGCCGAAGAGCCAATGTTGTCCAAAGACATCTCCGTGGTCATGTGGCCGGCATGACTAAATGCCAAAGGTACACAGAATGCTGTTACCTTCCCACCAAAGATGGTCCTTATTTTTCTATTTGCATTTTTAACATGCTTTCAAACTGCTAGGTTGGCAGAAGCTGGGACAAGTAACGGGAGATCACTCCATTACGCGGCACTAGGGATTTGAACTGCTGAACTGCTGACCTTTCGATCGACAAGCTCAGCATCTTAGCCACTGAGCCACTGTGTCCCTCCCATTTCTGTTATTACTGATACTATAATTTCTCTTTTTGCTCCTTACTAACTCAAAAAGGATGACCTAGCTGAAAGAGACAGATGAATAGATTGAATTGGTAGGTGTTCCAGCTGCAGGTAACATAGATATTATGACAGATAACTTTAAAAACTAAGATTAACAATAGTTACCCAGAAATGCTAATCCCCTATTCTACTGAAAGAACTATATCAATAATATAGATCAGAGTTTGATATTGTCAAATCCGCGATGACACGTCATCTTTTTTCCCCTTTGCTAAATTGGGGGTGATGCATCTGGCCCATGGGTTGTGAGTTTGACATCCCTGCTATAGATAATTCAGCCTAGATAATGTATAAATACCATGAAGCCTTCTGCTTCTGGGAGGAGTTTTCATGGTATCTGAAGCAGAACATCCAGATTCAGTCACAGTTTTTTTCCATACAGTATCAACCTTGTCAACTGCCAAGCTTCCTCTTTCCGCTATGTATTCAAAATGGACAGTGATTGATATTTATATGTAAGGATGTAGGAGGTATATACATATGTATATAGCATGTCTATATGTATGTTATTTATGCATACACTTTTGATAGCAGGCAACAGAATTCCATTTTTAATATGTACCAATGTTCCCACAGTAAAAAATGACAATACAGATTATCTATCATCTATCTATCTATCTACGGTATCTATCTATCTATCTATCTATCTATCTATCTATCTATCTATCTATCTATCTATCTATCATCTATCTATCTATCTATCTATCTATCTATCTATCTATCTATTCTTTTTTATTCCTACAATCATGAAGATGTAATGGCAAAATTCATTTGATTAACTTTTTCTACTTCATTCTCAAGATACGTTCAGCTTTTTTTATATTGGGGAAGAGGATATTTGTCAGCTTACTTTATGCTTGCAAAATGGCTGTTTTTGTGGTTTTTGTTTTCTGTTATTGAACTGTGCGCTTTTCTCTGTAGTTTTTTTTAATCTATAAAAATAAAATATTGTTGGAAAAATCCTCCTTGGCTTTAATTGAAGGATAAAAGTTTCATTATAGACTGTAATGATTTCAGGATGGATTGTAATGAAAAATCAAGTGCACAGAGATACACTTGACTACCTGTATCTAAACAGTAAGGTTTGCAGGGAGGATGGGGTAGTGGGGATAATCAGATTGACATCATGGCATCATGAAACAAGCCTACAGTTTTTTCATCCATGCATTACAACTTTATGATATGTATACAGACCTTGTGGCATGATTCTGCAGTAGTGTTTTGTCATTCAGAAGACTTTACAGATACTACTGTAACTAAATACCTGCCAATTTTTGTGTCCTACACTCTCCATAAAAATATTCTGCAATAGAATATGTGATTTACAAAAGATTTAGATACTATTCTAGATTGAATTTTCTATTAATATTCTGTTTTTAAATTAAATGTTTTAAAAAATGCAGAACAAATTTTGGCTCAACATAAGTAAAATTTGCTCCTGTTCTCCCAGCAACAAAAATTAAGAACAATGAATATACGCTATTGTAGGTAGAGTAAAAGCAGTTACAATCCAGAATTGTTTTTCTTTAAATTCAAATTATTTTAGCGTAACATATAACAATATATTTTGAAATAATGGGTTAAAATATTAATTGTTGGTTTCTTCCTGAGCTATCATGATTTTAATCCTTGTCGTGCTCTTGTATATTATCTGTCCAAGTTATAGCTCCCGAACTGTATAATCACTTAATTCTTTGAAAATTCAACAAGTGCAAATTTCATGCATCACATTTCAAACATCTCCACACTTTTGGCAGATCATGTCAGTTTGCTGATCTTCCTGAATGTCCCATGCAGCAAGAGATTTTTGTTCTGTCCCCCCACCTCACATAGGCAGACACACGAGCAAAAGACTTCTACAGTAATCTATTTCTACAAGCTGACCTGAATCCCTTTGGCAGCTGCAAATTCTGGCAGCTACTTTCCGAATGCTGCCAAGTTTCTTATCACCTCTAGAAACAGGAGTCAGCGTATCTGTAGTCCGTTGCTGGGGCACCCAAGAGTTCAAAGAGTAGTCAGAAGTCATTCACAAAGTTCAAGCCTTAATTGCGAACAATATCCCATCCGAAGCTCACGATATGCAGTTTTTGTCCGTCACAGAGCCTGCAGAGCAACCCCACCCACTTTTATCCCCTGTGGGGCATGGCTCAGTGACTCAGCAATCTCTGGCCCTTCCCCACCTCTTCCTTTGCTGCGCACGCCTCTCCCTCCGACGCTGCCTGGTATCAATCCAAGATTGATCTTCATCACTCCCTATTAATGGGTGCCCCGACATGCTTTCCTCCTGGCCTTCAGCTGGAACCTGAGGCATTGCAAGAAACGAGGGTCCTGGAGAGGGAGGCCTTGTCAGTTCCTCCCCATCACTTTCAGAGTCATCTTCCTCCGTGAGGACAGGCTCGGGAGCCGGAGTCACAACAGGTTTTTCCTGATGCATAAACAATTATTATGATTTTGATAATGAAATGTTAAAAGAAATATTTTTGTGTAAATGTTCCCATTTTGCAGAAAGAGAAATCAAGCATGTTTATTTATTTCTTTAATTTGTTTGCCACCCATCTCATTGCATATCTTCTTAGACTATAGGACTTTTATCACTTCATCACAGAAAGTTAGACCAGCATAACGTTTTTCTCAGTGGTGAAATGTAAAATTTGTTACTACTGGTTCTGTGGGCGTGGCTTGGTAGTGGTGGGGTAATGTGACTGGGTGGGCATGGCCAACTTTTTTTTTTTTACTTTTAAAAGCATTTTTTCTACAACCTTAAGAGGTTGCAGAAAAAAAATGCTTTTAAAAGCCTCTGATGATCCCAGCTGAGCTGCGTGATCATCAGAAGCTTTTTATTAACTTTTAAAAGAATTTTATCGGTAAAAGAGGTTGTAGAAAAAATGTTTTTAAAAGTAAAAAAAAAACTTCTGATGATCGCGTGACTCAGCTGGGCGGGGGGGGGCAGGGATTTTTGCTACTGGTTCTCTGAACCACCCACTGTCATTGCTATCAGATCGGGTGATCCGGTCCGAACCGGGAGCATTTCACCCCTGATTGTTTTTTGGGCAATTCCTATCCTCCCTCTATTTCTTCTTTTAGTTACCACTCACTGGCAGTCATCTGATTTCTCTCCAATATCATGGGTGACAAATCTAACAGATCCTCCCTGCCCTCTGCCACCCAGATTACTGTGAAATGGTGTTACAGTAAGGAGTGAAAGGGAAGTACTATTTTGATAACACTATAGCCATGGTTGTCAAGTCAGTCTCACCTGTGGCCTTAAAAAGAGATGGAAAGTGAAAAAAGATGCACTGGAACATGTTTGTCTTGCAGTTAGGAACAACTGGGTAAGTATTTCTTAAACACTTTTCTCTCAGTACTCCTTCCACCTTTAAAAATTATGGGGGAATCAAAAAGAGCCTTTGTATTGTTTATACTTATCAAGAGCCATGGTGGCGCAGTGGTTAGAATGCAGTATTGCAGACTAATTCTGTTGATGGCTGACTGCCAGCAATTCAGCAGTTCAATTCTCACTTGCTCAAGGTTAGCTCAGTCTTCCATCCTTCCGTAGGGTTGCTAGGTCTGCTTCCAAAAAATAGTGGACGGGGGGGGGGGGGTTAAGTAGTAAAAAAAAAAATTACAATTAAATTATATATTTTCTTACAAACATTTTAACATGTATTAAAATAATCACTTCAAAACTTTACTTAAAATTCAAAACATCAAATATATTATAATAATATGTAAAATATTAAATTACATTTTACTTTGCTGTCATGTGTATTTTTTATTTGACTGCGCAGTTTTGATCAATTCTTTGTGTTTAAGGAATAATTCTTTAATTTCAGTACAACGTTGAGAAATATTTAAAAATATACAAAGTTCACTTCGAACTGATGGTACAAGCAGTCGGTTACATTTGTCAGTCCACAAATTTCCCATGACGCTGAAAATTTGTTCAACATTTGCATTTGATACCGGAATTGATGCACAATACTGGAACAATTTCAGTAAACTCGGAGCTGGCTCTTTCTTGAAAAAGTACATCCACTTATCAAGTGGGTGAATCGCCCTGCAGATGAACATAAACTTCTTCTAAGGCAGAAATTTCATCGAAGAGAGTGTTGAGTGGAAGTTCTTCTCGCCATAACCAGATGTTCGTCATTTCTTCTAAAGTTGGAGGATTATTGCAATCAATTAGATTGAAACAACTTAGTGTTTCAATCGAAACGCTATACTGAATCGATGAAATTATTCCACTTTTCTAGGTATGCAATGGCTCTTTGATACACGTTGATGGCTTCTTTCTTGAACTTTTGCATGGCATACTCAGGCAAATGTTTTTTACGTAAGGCAAATAAAACTTTCATTCCAAAAAACTGCTCATCGTATTTTTTTTGCAGAGAATCACGCAGCTTACATATGATAATGTGAAGATCACATGCAAGAATTTTCTTGCTTTCCAGCTTCAGTAGGGTGTCTTGCATTATTGACATGAAGAAGTGCGTGAAATATAAATACAATTCTGAAATTGTTGGTTCATCGTCCTTTGCGAGTTCATTTTCCTGATCCGAAATAAGGTTCCAGATAACCTTATGGCACTCATCAGATCCAAGAGAAATAAAATACGATTTTAGAGGTATCCAGTTTAAAAGAAGTATTTCAACCGCTTTAAACAAACTTAACCAACGTGTTGGAACATGGCGCAAACTTCATGGAATTCTGACTCGCAAAACTCAAAAAATGATTTCAACTCTTCTCGTTTCTTCACAGAATTCGAAAATTCGGCAAAAACCTTCAGCACTACATTTTCAATATCAAAAGATAACTGCTTTAATGCATTTTTTGCGCTGTTGTGTAAAATGTGATTATTGCAATGAGCATTCGATCTTTGTCTCATTCTAACTTATGAAAAAAAAGACAAAATGCGATTCTCCTATCCTTATTTTCTTAGAATGTACAGCTTTAGATTACGTACCATTTCATCATAAAGCTTTTGAATAAAAAAATGTCCACTATTTTGTGAAAAAAATAGTGAACATAATGTGAAAAAAGTGGACTGTCCGTTCAAATAGTGGACACCTGGCAACCCTTCTGAGGTTGGTAAAATGAGAACCCAGATGGTTGGAGACAATATGCTGACTCGGTAAACTGCTTAGAGCAGGGGTATCAAACTCACGATGACATGTTGCTATCATGAGATGTATCATAACTTTTTTCCCCTTCACTAAACCAGGGCCCAGCGCGTGACTCATCTGGCCCATGGGCAGCAACACTTCTGGCTTAGAGAGTGCAGTATAGATGAAGCAGTATATAAATCTAGGTGCTATTGCTATTGCTATCAATATTTACTATATTAAAAATAAAAGGTCACATTTACTACTGCTACCATGTTTCATGCTTGTTTTATGGCATTTTAATATTGTATTATTTTTCAATTATTTTTGACAAATAATTTTGCTTTTGAGCACTCTGAGAGGACCTTCTAGAACCACCCTTTAAGAAACATTGAACCAGGGAAAGATCAACATTGTCTGGAGATTTCACATTTTTAATCTTTTTCTTTGAAAAAGCTATAAAATCTACAGCCAATATATTTCAAACACCTGGGTGTTCTTTTATGGACCTGGATTTAAAGATCAGATGTAGTGAGTACATCTAAATACTGATAATTCTTAATAGATATACTCTGTGTCATGCACTTCTAGGGCATGTCAAATTTTTCAAATTTCAGGGATTCCTTCTGTTCCCCACCAACCAGTCAGAGCTGAAGAAGCTTCTTGGATGAGAAACGAAAGGTCTTCAAAGAAAAACCAGAAAATCTTGTTGCCTCTTGAAAAGTACCTTTGGGACAATATTTTGTTTGTTTTATTTCACAGGTTCAGCTGTCTTTTTCTTTTTGTTAAACGTTATTTTGTCTGAGAGTGTTAATATTGCTAGCCTCATTTCCTGCGAGTGTGATAACTGATCTGTAATGGCTTCTAAAATGGAACAAGACTGGGAACATTCACTCGTATGAGCAACCTAATTGGGACTGGCAGAGGCTTGTTGCCATCTGAACTTCCAACACTGTGAGGCATTCTCAGATATGGCCTACTGTTAAGAAAACAAAGTAGTGGTGATTATAGAAACTATCCAGCAGTCTTGCAAGATACATATATCCAAAAGTCTTGAAAAATGGGAATGAACAAACAGTTCTTTTGTGATCCCTGTTGTAAATTCACGAGTGACCATCTTGAATAAGATCCAAAAAGTTGGGATCAAGCCAAAAACATATCTCTTGATAGAGGAAAGCTAGATATCAAAGAGACTTTCACTGGGAAACTTGACAAACTGTTTGGCATCCTCAATTGCAAGTGTCAAATTGTTCTGTGTGTCAAATTTGCTTGCCCTGCTGGCTGAAAAAAAAAGCTCATATTAACCTACCTGCCCTAAGGAGATGAAGATACCATTGAAGGAACTTGCTTTTGTTAAAGGTCAGAGAGATGAGACTGGTTCTTTTGGGTCACACCAGATTGGTTTGCCAGATGTGCCCGAGTAGAAACAACTAGTAAAAAGGCAAAAGCGGCAAGGCGATGACAGACAAAGGCTTGCTAAATATAAGCAGAGAAATATTTCAGACATTTTTGATTAATTATCTTTTATAAGGAAAATGAAGGACAAATGACTGATGATGAAGATGAAGAGGAATGTGATGGGATTTTGAAGAGGCCTTAGACCAAACACGCATGCAGAGTATAAGATACGGTGTTGGTCTGTGTGCCACTGCTGCCATTATCACACCCACCTTCATAAATGCTGGCTTGATCACTGAAGAAGACAAGAGATTTGTAGTTGACCGCAATAAAGTCAAGAGAGCCCAAGAAAAAATTATGACGTTCCTAGATCAAGAATTTGATGAGGTCTGTAAGAAGGGAGAAATATAATGCATCTTCTTCGATGGCCGTATAAGTGCAACTAAAGTTACGCTGAAAGTAAACAATTCAGATCAGCAATTCCCCAATACCATAAAAGAAGAACATTATTCTGTGTGCAGTGAGCTGGCTGGAAGATATCTTTATCATTTCACTCCAGAGAAAGGCTCAAAAACGGGAAAACCTGCTCAAGTGATTGCAGATAATCTGGTGTAGTTCATAAAGAAGAAAGGAATTGACAAAACTTGGAGGTCATTGGAGGACATTCTGCAAATGTTAATACTGGCAGTGAAAGTGGTGCCATGCACTGGGTAGAGGTCAAGCTTGACTGAAAGTTAATCTAATTGGTGTGTGCACCAGATGTGGGTTTCAGCAGGTTCTGACTAAGTCTGGAGAACCGGTAGCGGAAATTTTGAGTAGTTCGGAGAACCGGTAGTAAAAATTCTGACTGGCCTGCCCCCATCTATTCTCTGTCTCCTGAGTCCCAGCTGATCGGGAGGAAATGGGGATTTTGCAGCAACCTTCCCCTGGAGTGGGGTGGAAATGGATATTTTACAGTATCCTTCCCATGCCATGCCCACCAAGCCATGCCATGCCCACCAAGCCAAACCCACAGAACCAGTAGTAAAAAAAATTGAAACCCACCACTGGTGTGCACTCTACATGAATGAGTACTCCTATGACAGTTAATACAAAATTGGATGGGAAGATCTTGTCTAACAACAAATGGGCAGGTAAAATTGGCAATATGCTAAACACTGCAACAGAATTTGACATTGATCCTTCATTCACCAGAGTTTCATTTGGTGAGCCTCTCATTTACTGAGTGACAGTGTTGTAAAGGATCTCTTTACTGATCAAGCATATAGATATAGGATCACACAGGTAGTAAGGACAGGAGAATTTCCAATAGTTCTGGCTCTTCTGGAAATTGGCCCTGTAAGCCATTCACGCTGGTTGACAACTGCAGATAGGGTTTGTCAAATATGGGTTTCGAAACAAGGCTTTAAAGGCAAAAGTATCCAAAACTTAAGAATGATAGTGGAATACATCATTAGTGTGTATTACCCTTGCTGATTCAACATCAAAGTAAAATATTCCTGGATTGAAGTCCTATGTCATATGTTGTTCTAGCTACAGTAAGTCAGACTGCAAAAGAAGGCTGTAGTAGGTGCTGTTTTGCCAACCATTCAATGCTCAGCATGGTATACTTTCAGTGAAATGATAATCAAGACATTCTTGTGTTCATATGGCATTCAAAAGAGGAGAGCTAGTGTGCAAAAGAACATTGAATTGAAGGGTACATATGATGATGCTCTGGTAGATTTTTCTGTACATGTAAGAAAAACACAATTAATCCATGGCAGAGCATCCACTCTGCTGAAGCTGACTGACTGGTCTGAAGAGCCACGTGCAAGATTCTGAAGTTGACGTGCAAACTTACTACAGCAGAAATAAATGATGAACCAGTGCAAGTACCACAGTGGCCCTACATGCCCAATCAATAGAGAGATGTGTGTAACAGGTCATAGAGGCACCAAGCAGAGTGTATATACATGGGAAATGTGAGGGTTATATCAGAGGCCAAGTAGCAAGTCGGCAGCTTATGTCGAAGAACAAATCAAAATAAAACTTGATGAAACTCGCTTAAACATTTTTGTAACTCAGATAATTGCTTTCTGATGTTAGTTTATGATTGCATAGTTTATTTTTGCTCAACTAGTTAAGATTCATGCAGAAAAAAAAATTTTTGTAGCACAAGGTGGAATTTTGAGAAGATAAAGTTAACAGTATTTGGGTTACAAGAGACTGTTGTGGGTTATATGATCAGATGTGGATTTACCATACCAAGCTAAATCTTGTACAGTTGCAAAAATAACAGCAGATTTGAATTCTTGGGGTAAAAACACATATTTTTAGAACCTATCACTGAAAAAAATGCAAAAATTAATTTTCACCCCATTAAATGACTGTCTCATGGTTTTAGACAGTAGCCAAAAGGAACTTTGGGTTGCTTTTCACCCCAATGAACCCATAGTAACTGTTTCATCTCAAATAATTAATTGAACCATGAATAATGTGTAAGTTTGGACAGCTATTGAAAAGTGATATTTTTCTGAAATTTCATTTACTGGGGAGTGAAATCACTAGATGAAGAACCCTTCTGACTTAGGTGTTTCTGGTCCAATATCCTGTTTCCTACAGTCTTTCTATGGAAGTTCACACACACACACAAAGATTTGAAGATATTAACTCTATCTCATTACCGAATTGAAGGTTAGAATACATTAAGAACTATTGCTAACCCTAGAGATAGTTTATTTGTTAGACATCAGTTTACAAAACTAAAAATTCTTTGTTTTTCCCTGCAGGCATTTTACAATCAGTGTGTTTCCTTTTCTTTCTGGAATGCTGGCACTAAGCAGTGCATAGCTTTATTGCACTACCAATCTGGTGCTTTGAAAAGAGGGAAGGGATTAGCGAAAGAAATATAAAAATGAAATAGTGGAGCAATGGGATCTAAATGGGAAGGGAAATTGCTTTCTACAAGCTGTGTAAACTTCTATTATGAGACAAAGAGCTCTGTTCTCTTCCAACACAATATATGCTTAGTTTGCTCTCTCCAATAAGTAAAGCAGACTGAGGTAAAAGAGCAGTTTTAGCTACTTAAATCAAAGTTGAAAAAGGGTGAGTACAGAACATCATTTTCAAAACTATGGTCTATGTAGCCGTTTGGTCAGCAGTTTTGGAACCGCTACATATTTAGGCTGGCCATATGATGACAGAATCCTACTGATTTTGGAAGAAGATCCAAGTAAACTGTTTATTCATGCACTGCTGAATTAGTTGTCATTGTCAATAATACAGCAGGAAAAAGAGCTGCAGTATTCTTTCAACTGACCAAAACGTTAAAGATTAAGGAAAATGATTAGACATTCTCACCATTTGGAAGGACTGCAGTGGAACAAATGACCAGCTGAAACCTGTTACGTGCACGTTATATGTTAAATTACTATTTAGCTATTATCACCTATAAAATGCATCCTAAATCAATGGTTTGGATCAGATGCAGTTGGAAATACTTTCGTTTGATTCACTCAGTAATTGTGGTAGAGAATGTTTGTCATTAAGAGATAACATTCTAACAATGTACGGATCCTGCTCATGTGCTATACTAAAGGAAAATAACCTGATTTAAATGAAGATAAATATTTATGGTTTGTTATTCATGTCCTGCCAAATATATTGCATAACCTTGCAGGAGGTCGGTGTAAACCACAGTTTACCATATTGACAAGGATAGATATATGTGAAGCAATTATGGAATGAGTCATCTTCTAGGTCAACTGTGAGACAGATCAGAAATGTATTGGATACTTGTTTCTCCATACTTGTTACTCAACCATTAATCTTACTGCACATTAATTTCACGTTAGAAGTAGTTTTACCAATGTTTGTTAGGATCCACTTAAAGAAATGGAAAATTTGTGGTGCATCAGTAGCTACTGCTACACAAATCAATCAGAAATATATATATATATATAACTCTGGATGAGATCCCATCATAAAAGTTCCAAATCTTCAAATGGGTATTTTTAATTAAAGAATCCAAATACTGGTTGAAATGGCAGAAATTATAAGTAGTATATCTCCTAAACTAGATGTACAAATAGTTGCTTTACTAATGTGCCAATTTAGGGATGGTCCTATTCTGAGTCTTCTTGAATCTTTTCTCAATATTTACACATATAACTTTCTGCTTTCTCTTTTTCATTTAGGTGCAAGGTAAGCTTGAAGGGAGAATCTTCTTTTCATCAAAATACAAAAAAAATGGATGGACGGGGAATATCTATCCTGTCCAAACCAGATTCAAAGCTTTGATTTATATTTCACAGAAAGTCTCTAAGGAGAATTAGTTTGAGTGAAAGACAACTGATGAATTCCAGAGAACTTCCAACAGCCAAATACATAACACTATGAGAAAGCATGATAAATCAAAGTACAAGTAGTCCTCTACTTACAACAGTTTATTTAGTGACCGTTCAAATTTACAACAGCACTGAAAAATGGGACATGACCATTTTTCACAGTAACAACCTTTGCAGCATCCCCATGATCATGTGATCAAAATTCAGATGCTTGGAAGCTGATTCATATCTATGACTGTTGCTTTGTCCTATAGTCATGTGATCGCCTTTTGCAATCTTCTGACAAGCAAAATCAATGGGGAAGTCAGATTCACTTAACAGCTGGGTTACTAATTTATCAACTGCAGTGATTTACTTAACAACTATGGCAAGAAAGGTCCTAAAAATAGGTCAAAACTCACTTAACAAATGTCTCACTTAACAACAGAAATTTTGGGCTCAACTGTGATCATAAATAGAGGACTGCCTATAATCTTAAGGACAGCCTTCCTCATCCTGGCAACCTCCAGATATGTCGGATTACAAGTCCCGCCATTCTAAATGAATGTTGCTATTCCAGTTCATTTAGGGACATAGTGGCTCAGTGGCTAAGATGCTGAGCTTATCAATCAAAAGGTTGACAGTTCAGTGGTTCGAATCTCTAGTGCTGTGTAACAGGGTAAGCTCCCGTTACTTGTCCCAGCTTCTACCAACCTAGCAGTTTGAAAGGACATAAAAAATGCAAGTAGAAAAATAGAGAAAAACAGGGAATAACAGTGCTCCATGCGCCCTTGGCATTTAGTCATGCCAGTCACATGACCACGGAGATGTTTTGGGACAACACTGGCTCTTCAGCTTTGAAACAGAGATGAGCACCGCCCCCTAGAGTCAGGAACAACTAGCACATATGTGCGAGGGAAACTGTTACCTTTACCTATTCCAGTTCAGGATGACAAGAGTTGCAGTCCATCAATCTCAGTAGGGCATAGTTGAGAAAAGTTGCCTTAAATTACAACATTATCTTGAAAAATATAATCCATAACTGAAATGTCTTTGGATCATTCCAGATAAAATATAATTAT